TAGCTTATGTCTGTTCAGGGTTGCATCACATCTGCCCCACCGACCTCACAACTATGGCCAACTTTGAAGAAGAAAGGGGATGTGCTAACCCAGGCAACAGTGTTTCTTCAGAGGCAAGCTGCAGCCTAATTCACTTTCTAAAGGATTTCCTGTCTTACACCTTTCAGTTGACCTTTTAAAGGGCGGGGGGCAGGGAGTGCTTCACATGTTTCCAATAGTGGATTTCTGTTGTAATCGTTTGAAATTTCAAATTTTTCATTGTCTGACATTACTCATGCTTACACCAGTAACTTGAAAAGAAAAAGGAGTCACAGGTAGATTATTTAGAATGGCCTGGATGTTTTAAAAGAATTTTAGGGGCGCCTGGGTGGCTCAATTGGTTAAGTGTCCGACTTTAGCTCATGTTACGATCTCACAGTTTGGGACTTTGAGCCCTGCATCCGGCTCTCTGCTGTCAGCACGGAGCCTGCTTCAGATCCTCTGTCCCCTTCTCTCTCTGCTCCTCCCCAGCTTGCTCTCTCTCTCTCTCTCTCAAAAATAACATTAAATGGGGCATCTGGGTAGCTCAGTCAGTTAGGCATCCAACTTTGGCTACGGTCATGGTCTCACAGTTTTGTCGGTTCGAGGCCCATGTCAGGCTCTGTGCTGACAGCTCAGGGCCTGGAGTGTGATTCAGATTCTGTGTCTCCATCTCTCACTGCCCCTCCCCCATTTGAGGGAACATGCATATGTGTGCGCTCTGTCTCTCTCAAAAATAAACATTAGGGGCGCCTGGGTGGCTCAGTCGGTTGAGCGTCCAACTTGAATTCAGGTCATGATCTCACCACTTGTGGGTTCGAGCCCCACATCAGGCTCTGTGCTGACAGCTCAGAGCCTGGAACCTGCTTCAGATTCTTAGTCTCCCCCTCTCCCTGCCCTTCCCATGCTCATGCTCTGTCTCAGTTTCTTAATAATAAATAAATGTTAAAAAAAATTTTTTTAAAAATAAACATTAATTTTTTTAAATAACATTTAAAAAAAGAATTTTAGATTCTGAACACATCAATACTGCTTTCTTTATTAAAATTCCATATGGATATGTCAGCTATTTTCAAACATAAGTGACTGGCTTCTATACCAGACATATCCAAGGACTAAGGTGAAAGCAATCTGATAAGGAAACAGGTAATCTGAATAATGCAGTGTAATGGAAAGATCTCTGGACTCTGGGCCCGCTGTGTTCCAAGGCCGGTTGTGCCATGGCTCGGCCTGCCAAGGGCAACAACCTCCATCTCCAACGATGACAGGGGGTCTACATCAACCTGGGACCTCAGGGGCCTTTGGAAAGACAATCACAGACATGAAATGACCGCAGCGGCCGCTACTTCAACAGAATACACCCCAAATTACCCCAGGCTGTGTTCTTTTTGAAATGCTGGTGGTAGCTTGACACTGCCAAGTTCATTTACTCAGGTGACTCACGGAGCGTCTCTCTGCACAAGGCTTTATGCTTAGCACCGAGGACTAGTGAAGAAATCAACAGTTAAGGCATTTCTAACATGTTCCACCTATTTGCAACGAAGCGTATGCACTATAGTGATTTCGTCATTTCCAAGTGGCAAAGTGACTGGTTCAAACAGCGCAACAGACTTCTCCTTTCAGCCCTCCTGTCCCGGAGACAATAAATAACACCGCACGTCAGTCCTAAGAGACAGAGTGTGCAAACGAGATGCACACTTGGCGGCCAGTCTCCGTGACAGGAGACTGCCACGGGAGCTCCATGAAGGGAAAGATGTGGGGAGATGGCTTCTTAGAGAAAGTGAGTCTCTGTTAATTACATCTACACTCTTTCAATCTTTATGATAATCCTGTGAAGTGGCGCTGTGCTCATTTTACAGATGAAGGACTGACCCAGAGGTTAAGTAACATGGCCATAACTTAAAGGAAGTTAACAAGGTCAGGGTTTGAATCTAAGTCTCTTCTGACAAAACAGCCTGCCTCTCTCAGCTCTGCCATGGGTCCTTGGATGTGATCAGCATGTAAAGAGGGGAGAGAACAAGAAGGCATCTGGGTAGAAGGATTAAAATAAAGTAAGCCCAAGCTTGAGGTGAACCGAGGGCGGCCAGGTGTGGTGGAAGGGGAAACACATGGGGCAGTTAGGGGAAAGAAGGTTAAGGGATAGCTTGGGAAGAGACTAGATCCAGGTGACTAAGAAATGTGGGCTCAGCCCCACAGGCAAGAACCAACTAGAGACTGCAAGCAGGAGAGCAGAGGGTAATATCAGCGCAATGAGGGGGGTGAACACAGCAGGCCACAGACTGACTGCAAACGGAGGAGCTAAATGTAGAACAAATTATTTAAAATCCCGAGCATTTCAACACTGTAACAGACTCAGTGGCAGTTTTGTAATAAATGATCAAACTATCTCTCGTATGGATCTTTCTTGAAGCGTCTATAGGTATGTTTTTAAAACTGGTTACTATGTTGGGACGCCCGGGTGGCTCAGTCAGTTAAGCCTCTGACTTCAGCTCAGGTCATGATCTCGCTGTTTGTGGGTTCGAGCCCCGCGTCCAGCTCTGTGCTGACAGCTTGGAACCGGGGTCTGCTTTGGATTCTGCACCTCCTTTTCTCTCTCCCCTCTCCTGCTTGTGTTCCGTCTCGCTCGTTCTCTCTCAAAAAGAAACGAACGTTAAAAAGATTTTTTAATAAAAATGGCTATTATGTCCTACTAATTCTTACGTGGGTCAGAAACTACTCCCACCTCCAAATGCATCTAAAAAAGAACACCCCTTAGGTCAGAGGCCACATTTAAAAATCTTGAACGGCAAGGCCTCGGAACTGGAAGGGCCAAAACGAAGGATTAAGAGCAGAGACTCCAACCACAAACTTCTTGGCAAGAAAAGCAAAATCACACACACACACACACACACACACAAAATGGTAGCTTCACACTGACACAAGCACTCAAAACTTTGTTGGGGGGGTATAAAGTTGAGGACCCACAAGTTAGGGCGTGACTCTCACATAACCCCAGATTTATTTTCACGCCACTTCAGTTTCCACTTATATAAAAATCAATACAAAAATCCCCACCACTTAAGGGCCAAATTTCCTTTCTCTCTTACGGATATAGAGCCTTCTATTCTGTTTTTCAAGATCGGAGTGGTGAATTTAGTGCCTCCCTGACAACATAAAAACAATCATCAGAATTCTCAGGTCCATTCAATCTTTGCCACGGGCAGATTCCACTGCATTCCCTGGCCTACCCCTGAGCTGTATCAAGCCAAGGCTCCACGTTGCTCGAACACATCTGAGACCTGCAGTAGGATCGTATTAAACCCTTTAGTGACTATCAGATAGTCAACAATAACCTAGTTAGCCAGCTGAGAACACGTGACCCCGGCCCCAGCCCGAGCCAAAGACCTTTCGCTGCATTCATTTACCAGCAAGACGGATCATCTTGCAAAGGGGACCTGGGAGAGAATAAGGAAACCTGGCACGGAAAATGTGGAGGGAAGCGTGCAGAGAATTACCGTACGCAAAAGGGGCAAAGGGAAAGGGGCTGAGGAAAAAGAAATCATCTTTTCTGCACAATACCTCATGTCGAGGAGATGACTTCACTCTCAAGTCTGCATCCCTAATTTTACTTTATTTTTTTTAATATTTTTTTAAATTTATTTCTAGGAGAGAGAGGGAGAGAGAGACAGCGTGAGCAGGGGAGGGTCAGAGAGAGAGAGAAACAAAAACTGAAAAAGGCTCCAGGCTCCGAGCTGGCAGTCAGCACAGAGCCCGAAGCGGGGCTCAAACCCACGAACCACGAGATCATGACCTAAGTGAAAGTCAGACCCTTAACCGACTAAGCCACCCAGGCACCCCTGCATCCCTAATTTTAAATTGAACCTTCCAAAAAGTTAAGTGAGTTTGAGGTTCCAGGGAGCAGAGGAAGTGCCCAAACCACATTTGGATGTCCTCATATCCCTACAAGGGAAACGTGATACCTCTGCCTAAGTCCCAAGGTATTTTAACTCATTTAGGGATAGGTAAGCTTCCCCAAAACGGCATTAGCTTCTGAGCCCAAGGACATTCTCAGACGAGGGCAAGTGGACTTTCAGTCTAGAGGGAAGAGCATTAAACGCAGAGTAGAACAAAGTTATTCAGACACAAGAAAACCAAGGAGGTCACGGTAATGCTAGGGGAAACGGGTACTTTTATTTATCCAGGACAAGCCCAAAGAACCTACAAATACTTAATTTACAACTCGAACAACCAGAGCCTATTTCTCGAAACCTCAAGAACCTGGGCTTTGCAGAAAAGTCCATCTGCAGTGCCAAAAAATCTCCAGAAGAGCCTCTGCCTATCAACGTGAACTTAACCTGCTTTGTGCTGGAGTTGCATAATAGGTAAGTAAGACGAGGGAAACCTTTTAGGATCTCGAGAGTATCTTACTGTTCCTTATTCCGGCATCCTGCAGGCTGGTCAGAAAGGCTCTGATGCCCCGTTACAAGTTGTCCATTTGCCTGTGGACTCTAACGTGATGGGTCCATTAAACAAGAAAAGAAAAGAAAAGAAAAAAACTTCTCCCCCCCCCCCCCCAACTAAGCAATAAAGATAAATTTAGCCGCCACCTCTCCAACAAACGAGCAGAGTGGGTGGGGAGGAGCACGCCCCGAGCTTGCCGCATCCCAACGCCGCCCCAGGCTCGCTGGCGGCCAGGCTGCAGCTCCGCTCTCCCGCCGTGGGCGCTGAGGCCGAGCTGGGCGAAGAAAGGCCGGCGAGACTGTCGTCCCCGGGCTCCCGGGCCTGTGGCGACCCCAGCGGGGCCTTCGGGCGGCCGCAAGCTACAAGCTCTGGGACGGGCCGCACCGGGCGAGGGAGGCGAGGAGCGCCAGGGGCTCCCACACCCGGCCCGCAGCCCCGGGACTCCGGAGCCCTGCCCGGGGCCGCCGGCGGCCCGCACCTGCCGCCCCGCCCGCCACCCCTCAGGCCCCTTCGGCCAATGGCCTCCAGCCCGCGGGACTCACAGCTTCAGCCGCTCGTAGGTCGTCGCCGCCATCGTGCACCACTAGCTCCTTCTTCCTCTTTCCGCCCGCCGCGCCCCGCGCAGCGCCGCCACCTCTTCCACGGCGCTACCGTTCACCCTGCTCCGCGGCCGCAGCGCCCAGCTCGCCCCACCCCTCTCCCCGCCCCATTCGACCCCGAGCGGACGGGAGGCGGCCGCGGCCAAACTTGTGCCCAAGAGCCCAAGAGCGCCGTGACGTTGCCGCTGCGGATTGGTGCAGGGCGCTAGTTAGGGGAAGGCGGGGCGGCGAGGGCGGTGGGCTGGCGCCGCGGCCTCGGGGCAGAAACGCTGCGCCTGTGCCGGGGAACTTGTGGAAGCTGTGCAAGGGGTGATCTGCATCACAGGGAGGGTTGGGCTGCTACAGGGCCAGTGGCGCAATGGATAACGCGTCTGACTACGGATCAGAAGATTCTAGGTTCGACTCCTGGCTGGCTCGTGGTGCACTTTTTGCCACGTCTGGGTCTGGGTTTGATCACGTTACACGGTCTCCCTGGAGAGGACCCTGGCTCGAGTGTGGAAGTTAAATAGCTTGACTTTTACCGCCACGTTGCCCGAAACGTCATCTTTTCTTTTCTTTCTTTTTTTTTTTTTTTTTGAAATGTCATCTTTTTAGCTGGTTGGGAACCGGGAGTCGAGTGAGGTGGTTTGTAAAGTGCACGGCGCCCCCTTGATGATGCCGGAGCCTCTGGAAATGGGGTCCAAAAAGGAAGATACACTTGGAAACGTGACAGTTTGGAGTGGGGGACGCGCTGCGGCCGGAGGTTAGCCCAAAGCGCACTCGAGGCACGGTCCTGGCCCGTCTCCCCGGGGCGGAGAATCCCGAAGTGACGTGGGGGGCCGGCGGGCAAGGGCTCCGGAGCTCACACGCCGGGGGACTGGGCGCTTGAGTGCGGCTGCGCGCGGCTGCGGAGCGCGGGCCACGCAGCGCAGGCGGTGGAGGGGGTCAGCGTGCACAGGCCACCTGCAGCCAATTTCCCCGGGAAGGCCCGAGGCAGGCGTGTTTTTATAGTGAGGTGACTCCAGGTGATCTAGCAGAATGCATTATGATGCCTGCCTTGAAGACCTGAGGTCTGGAAATCTCTGTGGAGGAAAGCAGACCCGAACCCGTGGACTGGCTAAGACAGGACAGACATGTCGATCAATTAAGCTCTCCAGTATCACTACCCCCCCCCCCCCCCCCCCCCCGCCGCTTGAAGAAATAACAGAAAATTTGTGAAATACAGAAAACTGTTTTGGAATAAAAATAATTCCCATCCTGAGATCATTACTGTTAATATAATTTTTTCCTTTTAGATGTTTTTTCTTCCACGCTTTTAAATATGGATATACCTACCCACGTATTTTTCCAAATTTTAGGGAGTACTAGGTATGTCTTTGTGTTACCGTTTTGTCCCCTTATCTTCCTGAGATTTAAGGTCATTAAATATACGTTGAAGCTATCCCATCCAAGAACTAGGTAATTTTAAGCATTACTCTCTTGTTGGGAATTTGGATTATTCACCTTAACGGTTTTTAAAGATAGTGCTGTGTTGAATTATTTCTGATATGTCTTATAAATTTCTGGATGTGGAATGACCAGAGGGACGTTTTTAAGGTCCATTTCATGGGCATTTTTGAGACTTGGAACATATTTTCAAATTCCCTCCAAAAAAATTAAACTTACTTACATTAATAGCATGTTTTCCTGCTTGCTAGCCAACACTGAATGTTTTAGATTTCACTATAATTTCTTTGCAATCTTCATAATAGAAAAACAGAACTTCCTTTTACATATATTACTTCATATATCTATTTTCTCTTGATGTATGTATTCACTTTTTCTTAGATTTGTTAGATTTTTTAATACATAAAGAATATTAATTCTTTAGCTCTCAAACATCGCAATCTTTTTTTTTTGTTCTTTGGTTTTTTTAAGTTTATTTTTTTTACAAATAGTTTATTGTCAAATTAGTTTCCACATAACACCCAGTGCTCATCCCCACAAGTGCCCTCCTCCATGCCCATCCCCCCTCTCCCCCACGTCCATCAGTCCTCAGTTTTTGGCATCATTCAAGAGTCTCTCATGGTTTGCCTCTCTCCCTTTCCCCCACCATTTCCCCCTTCTTCTCTCCCTTGTTCCTCCGTCAAGTTCCTCCTAATCCTCCTATACGTGCAAACATATGGTATTTGTCGTTCTCTGCCTGACTTATTTCACTCAGCATAACACCCTCCAGGTCCATCCATGTTGCTACACATGGCCAGATTTCATTGTTTCTCATTGCCATGTAGTATTCCATCGTATAGATAAACCACATCTTTTTGATCCATTCGTCCAATGATGGACACTTAGTCTCTTTCCATGTTTTGGCTATTGTTGAGAGTGCTGCTATGAACATTGGGGTACATGTGCTCCTATGCCTCAGCATTTCTGTATCCCTTGGGTAAATTCCTAGCAGTGCTATTGCTGGGTCCTAGGGGAGTTCTATTGTTAGTTTCCTGAGGAACCGCCACACTGTTTTCCAGAGGGGCTGTACCAGTTTACATTCCCACCAACAGTGTAGGAGGGTGCCCGTTTCTCCACATCCTCGCCAGCATCTAGAGTTCTCTGATTTGTTCATTTTAGCCACTCTGACTGGCGTGAGGTGGTATCTCAGTGTGGTTTTGATTTGTATTTCCCTGACGAGGAGGGATGCTGAGCATCGTTTCATGTGTCTGTTGGCCATCTGGATGTCCTCTTTGGAGAAGTGTCTGTTCATATCTTCTGCCCATTTCTTCACTGGGTTTCAAACATCGCAATCTTGCAATTTATCATTTATCTTTTTCTTACACTATTTTTGAATCTAAAGTAATTTTCACTACTTTGTATTCCAATTTACCAATATTTTACTTTACGTTTTTTTTTTCTATTGTATACGTGGTCTTTTCAAATTTTTTTGTGTTTGTATTGTTTTTTCCATTTAATCACTTTGTAATTTATTTTTTGCTCTCCCAATGGAAAGATCAATTAAGTCTTAAAGCCTGTCACTCTTATTAGCAATTAAGAGCGCTAAACTCTTCACTTGGACTAATTCAATCAATCCTACAACAATCCTATAAGGGAAGTTCACCTGTTGTCCCCATTTTTACATGCGCAGAACAAAATTTGCTTGAGGTCATTGAGCAATTAAGTGGTGAGCCTCAGTTAGAACTTGAGTCTGGGCTCTTGACCCCAAAGCTATCTTGGCCTTCAGCTTTCTGTGCACTGGAGGGCGACCACACGTGTGGACTCAGGGTCAATGGGAGGGATCAGTGGGAGGGACGTGTATCTAACCGAGTGATGGGAATGCTGTCGGCTGCTCGGACCATCCAGGTAACTAGGGCTTCTCCTAACAGTGTCACAGACCTGGGGCTGTCACACACCTGGGAATTCTCCTGGCCCAGGCCGCTGGCTTATTTTTCTCCCACGAAGTGCGACGGATTCGGATTCATTTTTACACCCAGGATCCAAAGGCCAAATCACTTTTATGTGGGAAGCACTTCTGTTTTCAATCCAGGGGAAATTCAAAGCCCACCTTTAGCAATGCTTGAAAGAAAATGCACCTAATAATCACACCATATTTTCACTCCATCCAAAAAGTATGGTGGACTCTGTAGTAAACTGGGAAGTGCTCCCCCACGGAGCTGTCCACGGCCTCATCCCCAGAACCTATGAATCGCTTATCCTGTAAGTTAAAGAAGCTTTGCAGATGTGATTAGTTAAGGGATTATCCTTAAGGGATGAGGGGATTATCCTAGACCCCATGGGGGTGCCCAATGTAATCCTACCCTGTGGCCTCACAAGCAAGAAGCAGGAGGCGGAGAGAGAGGAGGTGTGATAACAGTCTTCAGGGATGGAGCCACAAACCAAGAAGTGTGGGCACCCTCTAGAAGCTGAAGAAGGGCAAGGGCAAGGGATGGATTCTCCCCTAGCGCTTCTGGAAGGAATTCGGCTCTGCTGACACCCTGATTTGAGCTCTATAAATCCATTTCTCCAGAACCATAGGATGACAGATTTGTGTGTGTGTGTGTGTGTGTGTGTGTGTGTGTGTGTGTTTTTAAGAGAGAGAAAGAGAGAGCATGCATGCACACAAGCAGGGGAGGGGCAGGAAGAGAGAATCCCAAGCAGGATCCTGGCTGTCAGTGCAGAGCCCGATGGGGGACTCGAACTCACCAACCATGAGATCATGACCTGAGCCGAGATCGAGTCAGACACTTAACCGACTGAGCCACCCAGATGTCCCCAGATTTGTGTTGTTTAGGCCACTCCATTTGCTTATTCCAGAAGCAATAAACCAATATAGACTCCAGCAGGCCCCTCCTCCCTCCCCCCTCGCAATGAGTGCTTTCGGCCAAGTGGCTCTAATGAACAAAGCCACAAGTTCTTGCTCCCAGGGGCCACAGTGATGCAACAGTTCCCTCTGGGTGAGACTCGGCCTGGATGAAGTCTCGGCTTGGTTTACTGGGTGCTTCGCATCTGGAGAGTTACTTCACCCTTCTGTGACTCAGTTGCCTTATCCATTAAATAGATTATAAAGAATATGGTCCTTAGAACAGTGCCTAGTACACAGTGAGCACATGATACATGGCAGCTATTACTGTTGTTACTGCTTTAATCGTGGAACTTAAAACCAAACCAGATCTCCCCAGTGCTTCAGCCCCACATGGCCCAGGAGGCCTGAGCCAGCTGGTATTTGTTCATGACCTTGCCATCTCCTCCCAGCTCCAGGCGCAGGGATGTCACGTCAAGCCCAAACTTGGCTGTGATGGGAGTACATACATCATAGAAACGAGCAAACACCACAAATCAGGGCTTAATCGCCATCTCCCCAGCCCACCTTGGCCCCTGATCATAGTTTCATCCCTTGCAGCATCAGGGTCATGAGAAAATGGCAGCCCATGTTTGTAAAATCAGTAGAAGTGCTCTCTCATCATGTAAAAAGCGGTTTTATTTTCCAGTTAAGACACCACTACAGTGGGCACCCGCTCTCAGCTTCCCCGTGTCGCCGGCACATCAGACCTGGCGGCCACAAGAGTGCACCCAAAGCCTGAAACAGCCCGTGGACTGAGCTGTGAAAAGGCAAGTCCGGGCCATCTCTCCCACCCCAAGGATCCCAAGCACACACACAGCCCTTTTCTCTGCCTTCCCGTGCTTCCCTGTGCGTGCTGGCTTCACATCCAGGGGCCACTCAGCTCTGGGATTCTTCGATTGGGACCTCATCAGAAAGAAACATACATAGGAGACAAAATCACCACCACTGCAGCATGACATCCAGTCTCAAGATTAAGGACCCAGGGAGAGAAACTGCCAATTCTTGGTTCTGCAAGGGCCCCTCATGTTCCTATACATCCTATGAGGTAGGCACCCCCTGTCTTCATTCCAGAAGTCTTTTCAAGGATGTTGGTGTAGTGAATGGTCTTTCTTGGGTGGTAAGCACAGTGTCTCTCTCTGGAGCCAAGGACAGGCAGGCTTACCTGTCATTGTAAGACTCGGGTTTCCTCTTGCAACGCAGCCTGCTGCATGCGCAGGGATCCCCTGGCCCTCTTCATGGGGCCCTAGAAGCATGCGGGCTCAGGGAGTCCGGGTAAATGCTGATAAGGTAAAACGCTGCTGAGGCACCTGGGTGGCTCAGTCAGTTAAGTGTCCAGCTCTTGATTTCGGCTCGGGTCACGATCCCAGGGTCTTGGGATCCAGCCCTGTGTTGGGCTCTGCACTGAGTGTGGAGCCTACTTAAGATTCTCTCTCTCGGCGTGCCTGGGGGAGGGGGCTCAGTCACTTAAAGGTCTGACTCTTGGTTTCAGCTCACGTAGTGATCTCACAGTTCATGAGTTCAAGCCTCGCGTTGGGCTCTGTGCTGAAGCTGTGGAGCCTGCTTAAGATTCTCTCTCCCTCTCTCTCTGTCCCTCCCCTGCTCTCTCTCTCTAAATAAGTTAATTTAAAAGAAAAGATTCCCTGACCCTCTTCTGTGCTCGCTTGTGCTCCCCCTTACCCCCAATAAAGAACACTCCTGTTGGTGCCGCATTAAGCTGTCCTTTGTCTCTGACCGAGGAGTCTCATAACTTCCAGCAGGATCATGACACCACGGCACACGCTACCTTATTAGCTCTTGGACCTTCCGTAGTTTTGACCCCTACGTTCCTTTAAGGATCCAGAGCCCCAAAAGAAGACCAAACACAGTTAGCAAAAAGCATCATCGGTGTACTGCACACACACAAAAGAAAACCCGTTAATCACCACCATGTTGGAGAGCACTTTAATAGGCTACAATTGATGCAGTTTATTGTCATGACATTTTGAATCATTTTATAGTAACAGTACAATTTTGAAGAGTTTTTTATTGTAAAAGAAGAGATACAGAGAAAAATAATTTCCCTGCAAGGTGAAATTTTCATACACTCTACAGAAATGTCCCACATCTGTCCAGTTCCAGCTCAGAACAACAGCTACTATGTTTCACTCATTTTATTCTATTACTTTTAAGACTGACTTCGAATCACCTGCAAGTTAGAACTCATTCCTGGCACAAAGGAATTCCTGGCGGACAGATCTGTGACTGGTGCATCCAGCAACACGGCTGGTTTTGGGGGGGGTCAAGTCTTGTACACGTGGTTTGCGAGGGAACCGGCAGACACCACGGCTGCCATACTTTCCCGCACATGGGAAATGCCATGCCTGCCAAGGATGGGGGTTCCAGATCATTCTCTCAGGTCCTGACATTTTTCCTTTTGTATGACTCAAGCCCATGGGAACAAGGTGATGGCGGCGGGTGACGGTGATCAGCACCCCTTACTGCATTCGCCGCCCAGGCCTCAACACTCAGCTGAACGAGGTTTTCACTTGGAGCGCTGGCCCCTCAGAGAGAGGGCAGACCCTGCTGCCATGTACAGGCAATGACCCAGACGGGATGAAATGCCCTTCCGTGATGAGAGATGAACAAATCACTCTACCCAGTGACAGGTAGGAGAGTGACATCGAGACAGACGATAGCAGGGCAAACTACATTATTGGTTTTTCTCAGGCCACCTCGGCAATTTCTGAACGGCCCTCGCTTGGGAAGGGGTGGGGGGGGGAGGGGGAGGAGAAAATTCTAATGGCAAAATAGAGCAGGGAAGGAGGCTGGAGGCTGGCTTTGGGGTCAGGAACCAAACCTTAATTTTCCTCATTTATCTAAAGCCCAAGAGCTATCTAGGGAACTCAGGAAGGGCTACCCGCTCTACCTTTTATTTTATTTTTTTAATGTTTTTTATTTCCAGGAGAGAGAGAGAGAGAGAGAGAGAGAGACAGCGTGAGCAGGGGAGGGTCAGAGAGAGAGGGAGTCACAGACTGAAACAGGCTCCAGGCTCTGAGCTGGCAGTCAGCACAGAGCCCGACGCGGGGCTCGAACCCACGAAACACGAGATCATGACCTAAGCGAAAGTCGGACGCTTAACCGACTAAGCCACCCAGGCGCCCCACCGCTCTATCTTTTAAAATAAATGTGTTCATCCTGGTCTACCAGGTGCTTGTATCTTCTTTCTAGGTGCCTATAAATTCAACCCCATTACAATTCTGTTTGGCTAACAGCTTACAGAATGTTTAACATAACCACGTAGGCGAACATCTCTTCACGATTTAGCACAAGAGCCCGAGAAACGGAGCTGGTGCAAGATTCCCACCGGTGCCCTCTCCAGGGCCCTGGACCAAGAGAACTTGCTGCTTGGCCTTCTAGGGTGCCTGGAAATTCTCTTACTGTTCTTCCTTAACAGTATAAAACACCACGTTTGCAGATGTCTCAATCACGTCCATCAAGGCCACTTAAAACGTTGCGTTTAAAAAATTAATCCCAAGGCTTTTTTTTTAAGTCATTAGTTACCCACTTTACAAACAAATCCCTGCTTCTGACAGTTTTCTCCACCGTTTGCTCCACTTGCATACAGAGCACAGGTGTGTGAAGGCCGGAGAGGTTTTGGCAAAGTTAAGAGACGTCGGCTGGCTTCATGTGCCCACCAGCCTTGCCAGAGCCGGGCTGGCGATTCTATGAGACATGAGGGTTTTGGCGCCAGGGTTCGCTCCCCCAGGCCGTCTGGAGCCTCTGCCTGTGGCCTGGGATCGATAAGAGCTCGCAGCCTGGGCCCAAGCGACATCTGACCAAAGGACTCTAGCAGGAAGAATTGAACAGAACTCGGAGGCAACTCAACGGTGCCAATTCTGTGCCTCTTGCAGCAACTGCGACCGAAAAGAGTCAAAACACTGCGTAGAAGGGGAGCTGTGCCCGCTGAAAAGTCCACGAGTCTCATGGGCCTCGGGCTCCAGTGACCACTCTCCGTGGCCCCTGACGCCCTGGGTGCGAGGCCGGGAGGGGGGGAGGGGGAGGTGGCGGCGAGCGGATGCCAGGGCAATGCTCCCAGACCGGCTGGCAGCAGAGGCACGACCGCCGCCCTCCCGCAGCCACACCCCTCCCCACGGGCTGAGGGGGCAAACGGCAGGCAACCTTCTTTTCTAAGTCTTTTACACCATCTTCTCATTGCAACACCAGGCAGACTGACGTCCGCCTCAGGAGGGTGACCCGCAGGGCCACCAACCGTGCTTCCGTGCTTCCGCAGCGCAGAGGCGGCCTTGAAGTCCTGCGCGCTGCGGCCCTCGCTCCGCCCTGGCCACCGGGGGCACCGGCTTGATGAAACGCAGCAGGCAGTAGCGCCCCCGTGCGGCCGGATCCACCCTCAGCCGACCTTCAGCTAAGACCGCAGCGCCCTGACCGGAGATGCCTCCCGCACCCACGAAGGCATCACCGAGCCCGGAGGGACGGCCGAGTCCCTCCTCCTGCAGTTTGGCGAAGCCCTGATCTGTGAGGTATTTCGTGCATGTGGAAGATTGAAAGCGGAAGAAAAACTATGAAAAACAAGAAAAGAAACAGACCGAAGCGGTGGACCTTCTGCGGGTTTCTTTGCGGCCCATGCCCGTGGAGAACGAATATGGTGAGTGTTCCTGTGGCACTCCGTCTCGTGCTGGCTAGAGATGCCACACACACACACACACACAGTCTCCGCGTGTACGAGGGGCCGGCTCTCAGCACGTGGGCAAGACTTCCCCGAACCCCCTGTGAAATGCGTTGCGACAGGCAGAGCTGTCCCCACGTGGGATCCTGAGACTTGCCTCTGCGGGAGCGACTCCAAAGTCCCAGACTCTCGAGAGCTCCAGAGAAAGACAGTGCAAACAGGAAGACAAAGGACGCCAGGCGCCCGCCCTGCGTTCTCGTCCCAGACACGCTCTGCTGTCGATCGGGACAAACGTCCGCCTGGGCTCCCAGCTGCCTGGCAGCGAGGGAGGGTTGCAGGAAGACCCAAAACTCTGTCGGCGTCCGGGGAGGCGAGGCCGGCTCGCTTGGTCCGAAACTCGGCTCCGGTTTCCCAAGGGAATTCTCCCTCGGGCACGGAGCATGGGTCACGGTTCCCTCTTGCCACAACGCAATTAAAATATGCAGCCACTCGACAGAAGAGCGGAGTCTCTGGGGCAGGAAGAAGTCTTAAATAATGCCGTGTGTGTGCGTGTTGGGGTGCAGGCTGCAGTCACGTTGTGTGCATGGACGTGGGGAGCGGGGGCTGTTGCTGGGCGGGTGTTTTCTGAACGGGCCACGGAAGGGGCCGAATGGACTGGCAGCAGAGTGATCCCCAGAGGATGCTGTGAAGTTCGCTCAGTGCAAGCTTTTCCCTCTAAGGCACGGACTGTTCCCAGAGGGGCGGGAGGGTCCTCGGGGTGTCACGCACCGAACACCTGCTAGAGTGTCTTCCTGAGTAAGCCGGTGAGGGCGGGGCGGCGGAGAAAGGCACTGGGAAAGTGGCACCTACCGGGCAGGGAGGGCTCACCTCCCCGGCTGAAGGAGAGGCGCCCCGCGCATCGGCAGGAACTTACCTGCCTGTCCCCACCCTGCCCTCCCACGCCGGGGGCCACCGGAATTAGCAGGCAGACGTCTGGCTTTGCAACGCTGGCTTCCCGAGGCCACCGCGAGGTCGGGAAGAGGCTCTGGCTAGAAGCGGTGCTGGTGGAGAGCTGCAGGGGAGGGGCTCTTCTCCAGTCTCTTGACGTGGCAGGAGTGACAGAAGAGGTGGTCTTCCAGGGGGTAGCAGCGGTGGCCGTCTTCGTCGTTGAGCTCCAGGCCGCAGTCCTGGGGGGGGGGGGGGGGGGGGGGGGGGGGCGAAGGGGGAGGCAAAAATGTCCAGGGGCTAGTAGAACGGAACAGAAGGATTGCCGAAGCCAGCGTCCCGGGAACCAGCAGAGGGCGCTGTGTGGTTCCGTGGTCCAGCCGAGGGGAGGTGCGGCAAGGCCCTAAGGCGCACTTGAACCGGGGCTGGCTGGAACTGAGAGGGGGCGTCGGGGCATGCCTACCCCGCGTTCCCAAGACGTAGGGCAGGACGTGAATGTCAGATGGCTCATGAAAAACCCCTTATGTCGATTACGTATTGAAATGACATTTTGGATATACCAGTTGAATAAAATATTGTAAGAGTGAATCCCCCGTTTCTTTTCATTTTTTATTTTTTAAACTTTAGAGAGAGAGAGAGACAGGGGGGCAGTAGGGCAAAGGGAGAGAGAGAACCTCAAGCAGGCTCCACGCTCAGCACGGAGCCTGATGCGGGATTCCATCCCATGACCCCGGGATCAGGACCTGAGCCCAAGTAAAGAGTCAGACATTCAACCGACTGAGCGCCCAGCGGCCCCTCTTTACTTTTTTAATGTGGCTACTAGAAAACAGAACTCCACACGCAACTTGACTTTGTGGCTCTCAGGTCCCTACGGGACAGCACGGCACTGACTATGTGGAGAAGACTATGAGTAAATGTCCCCAGGGCTGCCAGGTGAACTGGAGCCTCCCTCTGTCCCCCACCCCCTTCCCATTCACCCCGCGCACAGCGTCACACAGTAAATCTACTCTCCTTCCATGGCCGAATCCACTTAATCTTGGCTGAAATTCCACGGGCACTTAGAGTGTCTGCACCCTTCACAAGGGCGGGTGAGGAGGGAGCCCTGGCCTGCCTGGCGGTCACAAGGTGCCCGTGACTTGTTTAGCCCAGGTGTGATGCAAGGTAGAGAGGGGACAGACGAGCCCCAGAGGCACCTTCACACCAACCAGGGATATGTCTGTTTCCAAGTAGGGGTGGGTTTCTTCATGATTTCCAAGGCTCAGCTCAGAAAGGGGCTCTCAGCAGATGGGCCAGCCTCGAAGCTGGAGCGGGGTGCGTCTGTGCCCCAAATCACACAGCTACTTGACAATGTGGCACGTGAAGCCCACACTTCCCTCCTGCACGGTAGAGACGGGCTGGGGGAGCCTGCGCGGGGAGGCGCCTACCTCGCAGTGGTAACACTCCACGTGGAAGTCTCTGTCCATGGATACGACACGGATGGTCTCATCTGAGCCCTGGACGGAAGGAAAGTAAGAACAAGAGGCAGGTGGGGGACCCACGAGACTCCCAAGGTGACAAGCAGGGGGCCTCAGAAGAGCATAGCTCTGCAGTGAGGTCCCGCACCAGCCAGAAAAGGGATACCTTGGCCCAATGCGAGAGAAGGCAGGAGGCTTTCTGGAATGTCAGACTCAACGCTGGGAAAACCACCTACGTGGAGTGTGATGTTTTTTGAAAAAATGAATGAAAGGCAGGCTTTCTGCTCACCTTCTAATCTAGGCGTCACTATCAAGTCAAGGAGTTGGACGCCTGTGAGGTCAGATGGGACACAAGAAGGGCAGTGGGCGGGGAAGCGAGTTAACATGAAAGGGCCTTCTTGGTGAGGACAAACTGTGAGATCGTGACCTGAGCTAAAGTTGGACGCTTAACCCACTGAGCCCCCCAGGCGCCCCAGAAAGGACTTTCTCAAAGGTATAAGGACAGGACACAGATCTTGCAAGCGACCCCAGGGACGGATTCATGGCATGGAAGACGCCAGAAGTGGGTCTGCAAAAGCCTCTCACCTCAGGTGGAAGGATGGGAAGCCCACAGGCTGCGCACTTGGGGGCCAGCACCCTGCCGAGAGAAGCAGAGAAGCAATAAAGTGCGTATTGTGCTGTTTCCGGGAGGAAAGACCCTGGAGCCTTCCTCGGGCTGGGCTCCTGCCCGTCGCTGGTCAGGTGAACCCCTCCGCCCTCGCATCAGGACGGCCCTGCTCACCCTCTGGGCGGTGTCTCAGGAGTGTGCAACAAGCACATCGGGCCCTCTGCCCACAACCTGCTAGGGATGGGGGTTACCGGGTCGGCTTCCCTCACGGCGCCCCGCACAGGCCCAGGCAGAGAGAGGGTGGTGGCCACTGGCACCGGGTGGCTGCCTTTGGAAGTCAACTAAGGCTGGAGCCACCGGGCTTCCCAGATGCAGCCTGAGGCCTCGTGGGAATCTGACTATAGGGATCTCAGCTCCGGTTTTATCAGTAAACGCGATCTGTAACCGCTTGCTATCTGCACCGACATCAGCTGACCTCCCGACTGCACCGAGGGTACAAGCCTGCGGACGCGCCCAGGCAGGTGTCCGTCCACACTCGCGCGTGCGGCCCCTCCCCGCCCCATCCCTCCTCACTTGTGGTAGTCTCGGACACAGTAGATCTTGTTCTCGGAGTCCACGGTGAAGGGCACCCCGTCCAAACACTCGTTGCAGATGACGCAGCGGAAGCAGCCGGGGTGGTAGGACTTCCCGAGGGCCTGCAGGATCTGGGGGCAGACAGGGGAGAGGCCAGGGCTCAGCGGCGACGTGGGAGAAGGGGTGGGCGGCGGGAAGGAGAGGAACACGTCAGGCTGAGGCACCACGGGCGCAATCACACTGCCCGGCGTGAACTCATCCGAGATTCCCCTGGATCAAGGTCAAGAGATGGCGGGGGGGGGGGTAGGGGGGGGGGAGGCAAATCTAGGTAAATGCATCATCAGGAGGAAGCCAAACAGGACCCCGCTCCTGCACGTGACCCTCCAGAGGAGAGTTCAGGGGGCGCTTCCGCAGCTCTCTGCAGGAAATGGTGCGAAGCAGGGCCGCGGAAGGCTCCGTCCCAGATTTAGGAAGCAGCCAGCCCGTGGAAAGATGAAAGGAAATTCCACACAGAAATGGCAGAGCTCAGAAAAACCTCTTCATTCCTGCCTCCCCGGTGCCCCTTGTAAACGGCTTCCCCTCCGCAGAGGATAACCCATGAGCAGTGACTCGACCCGGATTATTTCAAATCCAAGCACAAGCAAAGCCTCTTTTGTTGCTGTTGTGTTTAAGCCCGAGACGGAGAGAAAGCGCCACAAGCCGTAGTGTCATTTGATCTGGCTGCGACGCCTGGAGTGGTAAGAGGCTGTCCGGGACCAGGACAGAGCTGGGACAGGCAAGGTAGGAGACACATGTGAGGACACCCCTGGTGGTGTCGGCCGGTGACCAAATCACCTCCCGGCAGAGCTGCCCGCCTCCAAACCCGTTGTGAGGTGACACAGAAGCGCCTTCCTATAAAGTCAGCGCATCTCACGGCGGGGTCCCTGGACCTGTAGTATCCGCGTCGCCCGGGAACTTGTTAAAAAACGTCCATTCCCAGGCCCCAGCCCAGCTCTCCAGGATCAGAAGCTCTAGGGCAAACCCGGGTGGTGTTTTCATACAATGATTCCAACACATGCTGAACTTTGAGAACCATTGGTTTGCCTTCCAACAAGTCTGGGTTTTTCTATAATTTGCAGCTGAAAGCATTTTTACCAACTCCATAGGAGATTCACTTCTGTGATCGCCCGCGCCACGAAACGTAGCACGAACGGCTGAACTACAGCACCCGGACGGATGCGAGGAGCGCCCCGACGGTCAGCAGCGCCCCGGAGGCAAGCCAAGCAGAATGCCTTCAACTAGGCAGCAGGAAGGGGGCTTAGGACTGCGGAAAACCTTGTCGGTGCACATGACACTGCAGGAAGGGTGTGCTCCAGAGCCCAATGCTTCCCCCTCCCAAGGCCAAGGCCACACCGGGCACGCTGCAGCCATGGGGGCAAGCTGGGGGCTTCGTGTGCCCTGACGGCTCAGCTTCCCAGCTTCCTCCTTCCCTCTGGTGAGTCACGAACCTTCGGGGCCCCTCTCAGTCTGCAGCAAGCTGCCAAAATGGGGAGAACGCCCAGCCGGGCATCCAAAGTCCACTTGGCAATCTGGACCTTAGAATGCACTTTGCTCCCAGGCTAATGCTGTCTTGGCAGAAGAGACTCTTAAATTAACTTAACCCACAATGTGCCCAAAGTGCACTCTGACTCACTGTGATCTTTCTTGTTACTGCGGGAAGATGCCCAGTTTTAGCCTGCAAGCTAGGAGTACTCCGCTGTGTTAAGGGGGCGGGTGAGGGGCACCAACGGGTTATAGGAGAGCCTGGACAACTGGCTGGTTCCCTTGGAGAACCAAGAATGGTGTCTGAAGGGATCTTTCTCTGCGTAAACGGTTCTGTTTCTAAAACAGGGGGTCCCTACCAGACAGGCATTCGCTAAAAGTATTCAAGTGGGAGAAAAGACCCTGCAAGGGCCCAGGTCCAACTTTGCGTCATCCTTGTGTGGAGAGATGATTCCAAAGCTTGTTCCTTCCCTCCCTGCATGCAAGGCTGGCCCTGGCTTCAAGAAGTGGAAGAGGAGAGGGGCGCCTGGGTGGCTCAGGTGGTTAAAGTCCGACTTCAGCTCAGGTCATGATCTCACCACTCGTGGGTTTGAGCCCCACGTCGGGCTCTGTGCTCACAGCTCAGAGCCTGGAGCCTGTTTCAGATTCTGTCTCTCCCCCTCTCTCTCTGCCCCTCCCCTGCTTTCTCTCTCCCTCTCTCTCAAAATAAATAAACTCAAAAAAAAAAAAAAAGGTGGAGGAGATTTTTCCCACCCTGTAAATTAAGATGGGCCTTGTGATGTTCTTTGAGGAACAGAAGGAGGAAGAAATGATGTTCGGAGATTTCTGAGCTGAGGACTTAAGAAGCCTGACAGCTTTCCTTCCTCTCTATAGAAGGGAAGTCGTCCAGCGAATGAGGTCAGTGGCCTCGGAGAGCAAGGCCTGGAGGGAAGAAGCCATCTTGGGCACTCAACTGTGATACCAGCTGAATGCAGCTGAATGAGTGACCCCAGCCAAGGCCACATGGAGCAGAAGAATCATTCCACTGAGCCCCGACTTAATTCTATGAATCACGATAAATAAATCACTGTTGTTTTAAAATTTCTTTTAATATTTTTGAGAGACAGAGAGAGCAAGCACATGTGAGCAGGGAAGGGTTAGAGAGAGAGGGAGACACAGAATCTGAAGCAGGCTCCAGGCTTTGAGCTGTCAGCACAGAGCCTGACACGGGGCTCAAACCCACAAACCTGAGCCGAAGTCGATGCTTAACCGACTGAGCCACCCAGATGCCCCAAATCACTGTTGTTTTAAACTACCATGTCATAGGTGGTTTGATACGCAACTCTGAGGCCCAGAGAAGGCTTAGGACGCCCAGAAGTAAAAATCAGGTATAATCACATTCATAACTTTGAACACTGTTGACCTCATGTGTGGTGGGTTTGTTAGAAAGACTCTAAACTCTCAAGGACAAATTCTCCTAACGAAAGAGAGCCCTGTGGAGACTGGCTGGCATCTGTAGGAGGTAGAGGTGAGGGTGTGGGCTCCTGCCTGCCTGCCCTGGGGAACTGGGTGGAGAGCCATGGCCCCCAGGGAGGTCTTGGCTACTAAGGAGGTCCCAGTTCTTTTTTTTTTTTTTTTAAATGTTTTATTTATTTCTAGGAGAGAGAGAGACAGCGTGAGTAGGGGAGGGTCAGAGAGAGAGGGAGTCACAGACTGAAACAGGCTCCAGGCTCCGAGCTGGCAGTCAGCACAGAGCCCAACACGGGGCACGAACCCACGAACCGCGAGATCATGACCTAAGCGAAAGTCGGACGCTTAACCGACTGAGCCACCCAGGCGCCCACGAGGTCCCAGTTCTCACAGGGGCTGAGCTCGGCTGTGCGGTGTCAGAGTCCAGACAACAGCAGGCTTCTCCTGAACACAAGGGCTCCAGTTCACCTCTGTGTTATCTATGTTAGCACAGAACCAGCAGAAACGAGTGCTTATGTCCACACAACACGCCTAAGAGGGTTCACGGCAGCTTTATTCACATACGACGTGAACAGGACCAGCAAAAGAGATCTGGGGCGACAGAGGTCAGAATAGAGGGGTCTTTGGAGGAGGGGGTTGGACTGGGAGGAAGACAAGAAGGAACTTTCTGGGGTGTGGGATGTGGGAACATCCACATTTTGACCTGGCTGGTGGTGGTTACACAGGTATATACGCATTTGTAAAACTTTATTCACCTGTACACTTCAGATATACACGCTTTACTGTATCAATTGCTTCTCAATAAAAAGGTTAAAAAAAAAAAAAGGCAATGATTAGCAATTCCTTTCTCCAGATGGAATTAATGGGTCAGCTTAGAGAGAGATTTAAGTCTTTCCAACTAAAAGAATATTGTACGGGCGCCTGGGTGGCCCAGGTGGTTGAGTGTCCAACTCTTGATTTCAGCTTAGCTCACGATTCCAGGGTCTTGGGATTGAGCCTGGCATCGGGCTCCATGCTGAGCATGGAGCCTGCTTAAAATTTTCTCTGTCTCTCTCTTAAATTAAAAAAAAAAATTTAATTTAAAAATTTAATAAAAAGAACATTGTATAATTTCTCCAGTGCTGAATAATTTGACCCCTCACACAAAGTATTCTGTACTTGTTAACCTCACAACCTTACCCAATAAGGAGACCAGGAAAGAAAAACTGTCCCCACTGAGGAGATAAGGATACTGAGGCCCAAGAGGAGCTCAGAGAGCCTTTGCTCTCTTAGAACTAAAGACAGGCTCCCCAAAACTCATCTTAGGAGTAGATGGAGCCCGGCAGAATGTGGGGGCAAACAATGGTGTTTACCCAGCTTTCCGTACCCAACTCCAAGGTAGATGACATCTGTCATTTGGCGTCTCACCCAGGACACCACAAGGACCACAGAAAATCAGAGGTAGGCCGGTGTGATCCCAGTGGCCCAGAGGAAAGAACATCATCAGAAACACAGCATTGTGTGGACTGCATGGCTAAGGATGCTAGCCAGTCAAGGTCAACAACGTGGTTCCCCTAGAGGAGGCAGAGCTGTGTTGCACAGGGTCTTTTCTTTAAAAAAAAAAAAAAAAAAACAGATGCGACCACAAATCAGGGTAGGAAACACAGTTCTCAACTATTGGTTTTTTCTTTTCTGTGACTGATCCCCTTACCCCATGCCATCCTCTTGCTTGGCTGATCCCACTGACTCACCATGTCCATGATCAGATGGCCACACAGAAAACACCTGTCGGCAGATTGCTGGAACCCGGAGTACTGCAGAGGAGACAGGCAGGAAAGGTAAACCCATTGGGGCACAGATGGCTCAGCCACTTGGCCACCAGTCACGAGGACAACAAGGAACTTTGCAGAGAGATGTGTCCTTCTCGGCCAGAATCTGTCCTTTCTCAGAGCACAGCATGGTGTGGGAGGAGTCATGAAACCCCCGCACCACAGAGCCATCACTAATACTAATACCACTCACCCCAACAACCGCTGCGTCTGGGCACCCACAGCATGCCAGGCTCTGTCTCTAAGCGAGTGCTTCTCAAAGAGGAGTCCCTGACATCACCTGGGAACTTGTGAGACATGCAAACTCGGGCTCTGGGGTGGGACCTGGTGATCTGCGATTTCAAAAAGCCTGGTAGGGGGCTCTGATGCAGGTCAAGCCTGACGCCAGCGCTCTAGTCCTTAAAACAGTTCTTGAAACAAAGCGTGTATCATGCCATTTCTCAGATGAAAATAAGAGAAGCTCAGAGAAGGTAAGTGACCTGCACAGGGTCACACAGCCTATAAGGGGTAAGCATAGGATTCAAATTCGAGTCTGGTTCTGGTTGGAAAGCCAATGCCTTCAGTTTCAAAGAAACTTGGTAAAGACTCTGACTGACTTTTCCAACACACACGCACACACACACGCGCACAGCTGGAAGGGGGCAAGCAAGCAGCCAAGGGGAAGAGACACAAGGCGGGCCCCGGACCACACAGCTACACACGGGCTTCGAACCCTGGAGATGCGGCACCTGGGCAGGCTGGGTGACACGTGGGTAGCGCGGCTCAGCCACACTGACTTTGGGAAGCTAAGCAGGGTTCAGAGAGGCCGTGGTGGCACGAGGGTCAATGCCTGGCCACATCCTGGGAGAGGCGGGATGCTGCCCACAGACAGCACATAGGATGCCAAGTAGCGAGGGCCCGAACCCCGGTCTGGAAGTTTGGGTGGGGGGCAGAAATGAGCAGAGCACAGGAGGACGGGCCAAGGGACCCTAAGTCCCTTCCAAGCACAGAGCTCTTGTGGTTTGTCCCTTGCTTTGGGAACAAGGGCCACCCTGGGCATCTACAGAGGGAAAGTCGGGACCCCCTTTCTCTGGCAGCGCTCAGCTCCCCACCAGCACGGGAGGGACCCCAGAGAGAAACCACACTCTTCTACCCCTGGTCTGGGCCTCCCCGCAGGCTACCCCCGCCCCCACACTCTGTCTGGACTTGGGGCAGGAGAAGTTCGGGGAACAAACTCACCAGGAAATCTTCCTCACAAAACACTTTGCCGTTGACGAAATAAAAGGCTTTTCCTCTCAGCTTCCGGCCTGAGGAGAAAACACAAAGGTGGCTACGTGGTAAAAAAGGAAGAACAAAGGCAAAACAAATGTCACCTATCGATAACAGTCCGTGATTACTGAAAGCCGCCATGTTGATGGGCAGGCTGAGGCCAGAAGCCCAGGCCACTGGCGGGTGCTGAGTGGCGGGGCCACCAGCGCTACCTTGGGGCTTGTCCCACACCTTCTTCCCCCGATTCCTCCCCAGCAGGACATTGGACCGGATGGCGGATGGTGGAGGCGCACTCAGTGGGGGTACAGGTAACAGTCTTTGTGGAGCCGGTTCCCACAGGTGTTTGGGACATTATCTTTGTTTGACATGTTCTCCAGGAATGTTGGTGACAACCTATCAGGAAAGTCCTATAAATTCATCAACTTTTTTTTTTTATGTTTATCTATTTTTGAGAGAGAGAGTGCAAGCAGGGGAGGGGAAGAAAGCCCGATGTGGGACTCGAACTCACAAACCACGAGATCATGACCAGAGCCAAAGTCGAACGCTTCACCGATGGAGCCACCCAGGCGCCCCCACTGCTCAACTTTATTTTCCTTATTTTTGTATATCTTTTCATTTTTTCGACTACAAAAAACACACATTGTTGGATAGATAATGATTTTTCCTGTTTCCTCCTGATTTAAATGGAGGAGGAGGAGTGGGAAAACTAGAAAGCACCCCAGGCTCCTTAGATGTCACTTTACAGTTTCCATAAAGCTAGGAACAGCATACTTTATCAATTCCATTGACCCCTTATGAAAAAATACAAAGGGTCCCAGGTTCAAGGTTAAGCAGGAGCACCTTTACGGGAGACCCTGGGTCTGGGATTTGGCCGCATCCTCAGATCTGAGAATGCCGCCAGCACCAGGCACGAAGCACACACGATAGACTCTGTGGAAGTGTTCAAAAACTGAATGAAGTCTATACTGGTGGAATGATGCCCCTGGGAGCCGGGGTCCACAACGTGACAGCAAAGTCACCAATGTCACAAACAGTAACAGTGCTTGAGACAGGGACATGACCTTGATAAACTGCCGAGTGCCCTTGCCTGGGACTCACAGAGCAAGCACAGAGCACCAGGCGACCAAGACAAGCCTGGTGATGTCGACCTGTTGGAATTTAGAGAGGACTTGGGGAGTACCGATGCAGAGAAAAAGTCACAAAAAAGGAAATACGTTTAACTACAAAAGCAAAACCTCCAGACAGATTAAAGACCTCAGTGTGAAAAAAAGGTATTGTAAGAAAACGTGAGAAAATGCAGGGTACCTGGGTGGCTCTACCAGTTGAGCATCTGACTTCAGCTCAGGTCACAATCTCACGTTTGTGGACTCGAGCCCCGCGTTGGGCTCTGTGCTGACAGCTCAGAGCCTGAAGTCTGCTTCAGATTCTGTCTCCCTCTCTCTCTGCCCCTCCCCCACTCATATTCTGTCTATCAAAAATAAACAAATGTTGAAAAAAATGTTTTAAAGAATTTTTTAATGCTCTGAATATCTGTTGCACTCCTTGGGGTTACAATGTAGTTTCAACTCAGCCTCATGTAAGGAGGGCTTACCAACGGTCTAACGGAAGGCAATAAATGCTTCAGTGTAAGAAATAAAAGGGAGGGCAGGCTGGAGGCCAGAAGATGGCTACAACACATATAACAAGGCACTAGTATCTAAAACATAAAGAACACCAACCGACCAAGACAACCCAATAGAAAAAATGAGCAGAGAAGAAGCAGCGAAGGTGAGAGAGGAGAAAATCTGTTAAACTCTAGGCAGTAACTGTTTTAAAAGATGTTCAATCCCACCAGCAATCAGGATGTGCAAACCATAATGAGATGCCATCTCATTCCCAGATGGGCTAAACTCGCTAAGCCTGACAGTACTGAGTCTTTTTTTTTTTAATGTTTATTTTATCTATTTTGAGAGAGAGAGAGTGTATGCACATGAGCTAGGGAGGGGCAAAGAGAGAGAGGGAGGGAGAGAGAAGAGAATCCTAAGCAGGCTCCACACTGTCAGCGCAGAGCCCGACACAGGGCTTGAACCCACAACCACGAGATCGCGACCTGAGTGGAGATCAAGAGTCGGACGCTTAACTGACCGAGGCACCCCCTGACAGTACAGAGTCTTGATGAAGGTGTGGGGACAACAGGAAGCCTTTCACGCTGCTGGTGGGAGAGCCAGTTGGCATAAGCCCTCTGGCAAAAATTTGATAAACACATCAAAGAAGGGCACCCCAGGGGCTCAGTCTGTTAAGTGTCCGACGTCAGCTCAGGTCACGATCTCATGGTTCGTGAGTTCAAGTCCCACAGCGGCCTCTGTGCTAACAGCACAAAGCCTGGACCTGTTTTGGATTCTGTGTCTCCCTCTCTCTCAGTCCCTCCCCCACTCATGCTCTATCTCTCTCTCAAAAAATGAATAAACACTTTAAAAATTAAAAAAAAAAAAGAAAGGAGACAAAATGACAACATAGAAATGTCTGTGCATTCTGGATAGTGGGTAAATAAAGGTTATTTCCTACTGTACTCTCCCGTAGTTTTGAAACTGTATGGAAAACACACACACACACACACACACACACACACACACACACACACACCTTCTTTAGGTGAAATACTATAAGCCAAAAGCAAATGACAAACCAGAGCAAACATCTGCATAGTCGGACACAAAACAACTGACTCCAATATGCAAATAAGTCAACAGTGCAATATAAAAAAATAGGCAAAGAATGAGGACATTCTCTCTCTTTCAACTTCTCTCGTGATTAAACTGTGCAAATGAGAAGAACACACCACGGGTGGTCTGTCAGACTTGTGGCAAAGGTTAAAAATACTGCCCAGCATCTGTACTGACATTGAAGACACTCTCTGCTCTGTGAGGGTCAGGAGAAATCAGAATGAGCTTTGAAGAGAAAGTTTGGTATTAAATATCGATGGAACTGAGAACAGCTCAGATCATTTTGACTCGAAAATTCTACTGCAGGAATGTATCCTAAGGAAACAATCAGAGTTGGACTGCTGAAAGGATCTTCATCTCAACCTTACTTAAAACAGGGTAAAAAAAATGAGCATCAAGCAAACATCGAATTCCTATTAAATAATTTACAGCATTTATACGATTATGGGGCTATAAATGAAGACTGTTTTAAAAACGGACTTGATGACAGAGAGTGAGTGTTAAAATACTTTAAAAGGGGGTATACGGGTACCTGGGTGGCTCAGACAGTTAAGCATCTGACTTCAGCTCAGGTCATGATCTTGAAGTTTGTGCGTTCGAGCCTTGTGTCGGGCTCTGTGCTGACAGCTAAGAGCCTAGAACCTGCTTCGGATTCTGGGTCTCCTCTCTCTGCTCCTCCCCCACTCATAGTCTCTCTCTCTCTCTCAAAATTAAACATAAAATTTTTTTGTAAATAAGTAAATAAAAGTATAAAAGTGTGTGTGTGTATGTGTGTGTGTGTGTGTGTGTGTGTACAGACAGGAAACACAGGCTCACACACCTATATGATCACAAAATTACATGTCTGTTCATACATATGAGATGTATACCAGATGTTAATAGTCATTATCTTTGGGTATAGAAAATGGGTGATTTTTAGTTTTTTTTTCTTGCAATGACTATATGTTAATTTTCATAGCCTGACACAAGTTGTAATGGGTGAGGGAGTGTGAAAAGAGCAATGGGATATATGCTAGAAGGCCGCAATGCAAGTCTTTGGCCCTCCACACCTTCTCTCCTGTCCTTCCCTCAAAGTTAGTTACCCTCATGTCTAGAAGGTTCTAGAACCTTCACAAATGTTTCTTGGCTCTGCAAAACTAGCACTTATAGCTAAATGATTCCAGGGTTCACTAACAGAACTCCCTTTATAGCCATGGAGGTTCATTTTCATCATTTTACTTACTTGTAACTTTCCCCTCTATAACAACATTCTAGAGAATTCAAAATTTTACAAAGGAAAATGATAACTAACTAGAGTATCCCCTCTTGATTTTTTGTCTCCACCAGGGACCTGGGTGAGAGCCTCCAGTCCCTCCCTGGCAACCAAGGCGACAAGAAGGACACAAAGAGCCCACCACAAAGTAAGGCGATGGCCACACTGTCCGACCGCAAGTGAAGTCCAAGTCCAGCCTGGTGAGTGGGGCTCCCTTGTTTTGCCACCCCTGGGTTCTGAGAGGAAAAGAGGCAAAGCTGTAGGTCCCAGTGCAGCCCCTGAAGAGAGCACGGGGCCATCTGGAAACGGCACAGGACTTCCCAGACAGAGATGAGGCTTCGGGTCCAAGGCAGAGAACACCGAGCTCTGATTCCAAGAATGGGGTCCCAGAAGTTCTAAGGAGTCTGGGCTGGGAATTAACTTTTTGTTTTAATAGAGTGCATGTTACCTCTGTTCCAAAAATCAGAGAGGAAGATTATTAAACAGGCCAGAGCACTGAGCGCTCTAGTGTTCTAAGAAACACAAATCAAACGAGAGCTTTCTCGCTTATAACATCAACAAAGATTTTTTTAAATGACCGCAGTTGTTTATGACTGCTGTCCCTGCACATTTCTGTCAGCTACTGAAGAGCTGTAAAATGACAAACTCCCCCTTCCACCCCTCTAAAGTCTAAACTCTAAACTCTAAAATGTTTCTTTCTGACTCACTGTGGTTGTCTGGGACTTAGCTTAAGGAAAGAATCAGAAATGTGAACAAATATTTACTTAGGTCTAAATTGGAAACCATAGCAGAAATGATTACATAAAACAGTATATCTAAATGTTGCCATATTACGTAGTTATTTAAAATGCCATTCAAATAAGTGTTACAGTGATACTGGCAAATGCTTATACTATAGAAGGTTACTCAAAATTCATTAGTAAATGAAAAAATGCAAGCTAGACAACTGTATGCACAGTGCAATTCCATTTCAGTAACTTATACACACACACACTGATATACAAAAGAGAAAAACCCAAAAGACTGTGTGCTAAAAGTGGTTGGCACTGGTAGACAGTATTACAGGTAAATTGCACTTTCTTAA